GATTGTGAGTTGAATGAAAGGATTCTTTAGATTTTTAATGATAGCAGCAGTAGGTTTACCATATTAAAAGTTATGTATATTATTCTTCCATCTGTGGTCTGTAGTTCAGGAAAATATGACCTATTTGTCCAAATATTCATTAATGCAAAGATCTTTGGTGAAACTCAACACAAACTATTCTTCACATTTTTATTTTTATTTTCTTTTTGTTGGATAAAGTGTACTCATTGGGGTAATAAGAAAACTAAGATATGACTTTGGCATAACTGTGCAACACTTGAAGGACACCAAACCATTAATTCGAACCATCGTGGAACCATAAGAAATATTGTTCGAGTTACTAATCAACTTTCTATCATGTATGATATGAGGGCAAAATCGAGCACAATAATGTGGAATCAATCGAGTTTTCAAACTGTGCATCACCATCAACTCATTAGCAATTATAACTTCATATTCCAAGATGGTTGCTGCTTTTGTGTGATAGTATTATACATAAAGAGAGAATAAAGATATAACATTAACAAATCCTTTTTTCAGCCACAAATATCAAACTTTGCTCCTAAGAAAAATTGTAGAGCAATTTTGCTATCTGTCACAACAAGATATTGTATTGATGCCTTCTCTTGACTCCATGTACTACTCATCTTGCTCATTGGACACTGAGATTGCCTGCTGCAAGTACCTGAAGGATCTCTCACAGTTGACAAAACCCATAAACCAGAACTCGAAATCATCCTCTGTGAGTATCTGGATGTACTTCTGGTTTGGCTTGGCAGTGTTCTCACTCTGGATGGCTTCCTTTATCCTACCGAGTGGAATCAAAACCTGTAGAATACAAACAGTTCATAGTTTGTCACATTGGATTATGATACATAGTTGTGTTGGTCACTTTGGAGCTTGTGATTACCTTGTCAGGCACTCTAACCAAGCCTCCTTTAGGAGAAGTTAATTTGAGGGATCGATCGCTGCGGAAGGCGATCTTGTCAGTGGAAATGAAAAGCATGCCCGGGATGGGACCAGCTGTGGTTGAAAGATAAGCACTGGAAGGCTTGGAGCAACTTTTCGCCCGGTACGATGGAGAAGGCTTGTCTGAAGACCCTCTCGACCCCACCTGCTTGAACAATCCGAGCTCCCTTGCTCAGCTTCCCCTTCATGGTTTCAGAGATCTTGGGACCCAAAGTCACTGCACTCAAAACAGTAACCTACAATTATAGTGCCAGTTTGATCGATCACGGAAGAAGTGTTGTTTTGTTCATGAAGTTAGGGGATGATGATTACCATGTTCGCGGAAGCCTCCTGCCTTCTCTCCGAGCTTGCTCATCCAGTCGACAACAGAGGTCCTTCTCTGCAATCAGAGGAAGCACCACGTAAATTACACAACCTAAGCGCAGTCCAGAAACCAAGGATGGGGAAGGCTCTGAGTCCTCTGAGAGAGTGAGAAAGAGAGAGAGAGATGAAGATTACTCTGTTTGCAGTGGGAAGGAGCAGGATTTCCTGGCAGTTCCTCCGCTCCAGCATATGCGACGGAGCTCACAGGAATCCCGATGACATGTTCACGGTGTAGGCTCTCCATTTAGAGAAATCTGCTCTGTCTGGCTCTTCTTCGGTTGCGACTCTCGTCGATTTTTCTGGTCTCTTTCTTCATGTTTCCTT